TTGGTCAACAGGAGAAAACGCGATGAGGCTTTCTCTGCCCGCAAAGGTGGGACTTCGATATTGGGTGCAGCAAAAGGCAGTTGCAAATTGAAATGTTTTTTGCTGAATCGAAGTACCCGGCGAGTTGCACTGCCCCCCTTTGGCACCCCCCGTGATGAGCTGCACTCGCGCTGGCGTTACCCCTGACGGGACTGCATGTGGCACACTGGCCGTGCGGCACACACACGCATCGCCCACTGCCCGCTGCTGAGAAATAGCTGTATTGCAATGATTCTGTGAGCGTGCCAACTTTTCGCGCTGGTTGCGTCGCTGTGGAAGTTGCTCTCCAGTATTGATGTGCGATGTCAAAAGCCAACGGCCGGTTGTGTGCAGCGAGACAGTCCAAACAACAGCTTGTACAGCAAGCCTAAGGATGAGGCTTGGACCGCTGGCACCGCCTGCTGATGCTTAGCTTCGTGTGTGTGCTGATATATTTTACAGCTACCGTGTGGTGCACATGGTCTATCGCTCTACCTGGTTGGGTCACCACGTCACCTCGCGGCAGCGATTCCGTCGCTTTTGGGTGTTGCTGAACTTTGATGTGGCAAAATTGCGTTACAACGACGCAAGCCCTTTTTGGCCAAAATCCCAAATAGGTCCATCCAAGTATTCGGGTCCTCAATTTAGGTGCAACTTTTAACCTTAAAACAGGCCCTCGGTGTATGTAGAGTACCACACTTTTCAGTGTATTTTTTCGCACGACTACAACCATCTAGGGTCACACAGACAGGAGGGGGTAAACACCAGGCAGGGCTTTTGTCTTCTTTTAATTTATTTTTCGTTCCCCACCTTCCTCCTGCGGTGCGCGCTGAACTTTGGTTTGACAGTCGTCCCCGCTCAATACGTACTTTTTTTGTTGAGTGTCTTTAACGCGGGGACATGTCTTGAAGATTCCGGGGCCACTAGATAACTCACCGTCCCTGGGGCCAATCAATGTAGGGGTAACATATGTCAAAAGATGCGCATTCGCAGTAGGAATGCGACCATGAAACGGCCCTGTTGGAAACCTACGACAAATCGTGATCTGAAGGTCGCAGCTACTGCTGTACTCCAACACTGCTGCACATAGTTTGAGTTTCCCCCCTACCACCAAAACCGTTGAGGGGTGCGCTGGTATTGTTAACGGCTATTGTTATTGCTGAAGCGTTGTCCTCACGGTGAACATCTTGCCCGAGATCTCGCTACCGCACCTACCTGAGAAACATCAACTGTTGGAACTAACTCTGATACGATACAGGCAGGCTACCTACCACATGGGGACCAAACAAATCCACCCACATTTTAGAACGACACTGAATAGGAAAATGTCGGTAATAACGTAGACAACACCAGACAAGAAATTGGGAAAGTACACCGAAAAAGAGGACAACGTTCCTCCCCAAAGGTAAAAACAGGGCAAAACACAAAACAAATTATGCCACGTTTAACTTCACGAGACTTGACCAAAGGCAAGCAAATAACACCAAACAACGAACGTGGGCATCCATAGTGTAGTCGTCTTCAAAAAAAGAAAGCTACGCCGCCCACATACCGAAGAGTCGCCTGCGCCTCGCCCCCCTCCGTCGCTCTTCGCTTGACTTGATTTTCATGAGTGAACGAATGCACGAACCCCCCAAGGTATTTTCCAAGGGTGGTTTGGTAAGGTACATACCGAGGCGTACCAGCAGTATTATACCTCCGGTATACCGGTACCGAGATGTTCGGTACGTTCGGTATGGACTTGAATACCTTACCGAAGTGTTCGGTACGTTCGGTCCGGACATCAATACCTTACCGAAAATACCGGTACGTTCGGTACGGACTTCAATATCTTACCGAAGTTTTCGGTACGTTCGGTACAAATACCGAGATGCTCGGTACGGTGCCGGTATGGACTGCCATACCGTACCGGGGATGCTCGGTACGTTCGGTACGGACTTCAATACCTTACCGAAAATACCGGTACGTTCGGTACGGACTTCCTTACCGAAGATACCGGTACGTTCGGTATGGACTTCAATACCTTACCGAAGTGTTCGGTACGTTCGGTACAAATCAATACCTTACCGAAAATACAGGTACGTTCGGTACGGACTTCAATACTTTACCGAAAATACCGGTACGTTCGGTACAAATACCGAGATGCTCGGTACGGTACCGGTATGGACTGCCATACCATACCGGGGATGCTCGGTGCGTTCGGTACGGACTTCAATACCTTACCGAAATTACCGGTACGTTCGTTACGGACTTCAATACCTTACCGAAGTGCTCGGTACGTTCGGTACAAATACCGAGATGCTCGGTACGGTGCCGGTATGGACTGCCATACCGTACCGGGGATGCTCGGTACGTTCGGTACGGACTTCAATACCTTACCGAAAATACCGGTACGTTCGGTACGGACTTTAATACCTTACCGAAAATACCTGTACGTTCGGTACGGACTTCAATACCTTACCGAAGTGCTCGGTACGTTCGGTACGATGTAAATACCTCACCGAAAACACCGGTACCGTACCAAACACACCCTTCGTATTTTCACAGCGGGGCACCATACCTATTTCTGGATTATTTATGTCCTTCAAGCGGGGAGTTTCCTCAAGAAGAGTGTCTACAAAGGGGGGATGACTGTGTCGCGAGGAGGGTCCAGCCGTCCCGTTCCCTCGTCAACGGTGCTTAGGACGAAGTTTGGTATTCACGAGTGCTTTTTCAGCTCTAATTCGCTTTCACCCGCTAATTTGGTATTTTTTTCTCCCCATGGGGATCCGAACTCACAACCTTTGCGACTAGCGGTTTTCGAGGATACCAATACATAGACCACCGGGGCGACCGGCTTACTACGCGGTGCATTGCCTAACCGTCTAAGTTACCGCTGTCACTACAAGTACTCAGTGTCTGCTGGTGACGCTACACTGATGGTCGATGGGTGATACCCCCCCTTGAGCAGCTAGCTAACGCCCGGAGAGGAGGGACCTGGGACAATGAACTGCTATGCATGACTGTAAGTTCCCGCGTACAGTTTGAGGAAGAAGGAAGTTTGAGCAACGGTTCGACAAAAAACAAGAAACTGCGATCTTCCGCAAGGTTCCACCCCAAAAAGCGTATGCATGCGTTAGCCTACGTGTAGCTGCCGTTCGGAAAAACAACGAGACCCCCATTCCAAGCTTGTCCAGAGGATTCGCAACTTCGAATTTGAATTACACATGCAGTTTGGCTTGTCGACCACCACGCGGCTCTTTCCGTGGGACCGAAGCCGTTTGAGGGCCCTGCTTTTGCAGATGCTGTTGCGGTGGAACGAGCGCGATACTTGTCTCTTGTCTCGCCCGCCTCACAATCCCGTCACCTATTGTAGATGTTCGCGTTTCGCGCTTCCGGCTGCTTCAACACGTTGTATGCTCTATGATGCGGTATTCGACCTCGAAAAGCTCCCTACGTCGTCCCGTGGTGCTGCTATAGCGACGCCCACGTCAGCTCCCACCCGCGCAATCTAGTCTTGCGAAAGTGGTCCCCAGCAAAGGAGGATGACGGATGAAAAATAACATCTTTGTTGCGTCCCTAAGTGGGTCAATTCATCAGGTTGGCGCTTTGGCGTGCAACAAGCGAGGCACAACCGCGCAACAACGAGGACCACCTTCAATTAATCAGCAACAATATTCGCGCTGACACCGAAAATGATCTACCGTATACGACACAAGATAACACACCCCCTGGACCGATTGTCAAAGCTCGATTACTCCACGAGGAAGAGGGTGCATGAACGAAACGATAATTTTTGGAGAGCTGTCGACCAGACTGCTGCAACGCCGCCATTTTCGGCGCTGTGACTCTTTCTCCTGTTGAGAAATCGAGCTTTGAAATTCGGCCCAGGGGGGGTGTTATCTTGTGTCATATACGGTACTGCTTGTTCTTGACAGGAACTCAATCGAGCATCTGAGTCACACATGAAATTCATACCAAGCATATGCCACAAATGTTGAGCTTTTTCTCGTGCCGAAGTACAGACAGCCGATGTCCCGCCTCTCCAACACCAATGGTACGAGATAGAGATACGTGTCACCTCCACATGGGTAACCCCGACCGCCATGGTGATGCTTCTGCGCCTCCCCCCGCCCATACAGAAGCTGGAGCGAATTTGGGCCTTCGACCGGAACGAGAGTGACAAGTGCGCCTCCAAGCCCAAGCTTTCCGGCCCTCCACGACAGTCCCGCCTTCCTTCGACACCAGCTCCACCGGAAGCTGGGCGGGATGGGGGGTGCACCTGAAGCCCTTTCTTCCGCCGCAGCGGGCGGCACCGGCGTTGGTAATCAGGGCGGCAGTGGCGGTAACAAGAGCAGCAGCAGCAGTGGTGCCGGGCGATGGCCCTGGCGTTACCACGACGACTACGACGACTCTCGGGATGACCCAGGCCTCAGTACAGCAGCCCGGTCCTTTCGACTGGCGGGGTGATGCGTCCGACCCCTCAGGTGGGATTGGGTTGGGCTGTGCGTTGAGGATCTTTTTTTGAGGAGATTGGACGATAGTAGGTTACAGCCTCCACGTGACTGTTGTGCCTGCGAAAAGGAGGTACAATACTTGTCGTTGTGTGTGTGTGTAATACTTGCTTTTCCACACAATCGCCTCTACACGCGGACGGACCGTGTTTGCCTATCCCTTCCGTCCTCCCGCGCCCCCACTTCAGCATCTGCCCTAGCATACGTTGGCATGGGTGCCCCCACTCCCCCGCGGGCTCGTCTCAACGAAATATTTCCTGTGGGCACTGCTGTCAACCAGCTGGTCATTTCGGACCGTCTGGCCACACCGTTGACTCAAGCTTGAACACACTGGCTGAACGACCGCAAACCAGGAAGACGTTGTCATGGCCGGGAGTGGCGGCGGCGGCGGCAGCGGCGGCAGCAGCAGCACCGGGGCCACGAGAGTCCGCGCAGGTCAGTCTCGAGCGCGATGGCGGGCACGACGTCATCTTCACAGCAGGGCGACGACGGGAACGGGGGGGGCTTTGGCTGGAGTCCGTCCTCCTCGACAACCCCTCCATCAGGGGAGCGGTGGTGGTGGTGGTGGCGACGTGGACGGCGGCATGGGCTTCATGGGTAACAGCAGCGGCGACGAAAACTTGACCACCGAAGACCCGTACGTGCGGCCCTCCCTCGAGAGAGCCATCGNTCAGTCTCGAGCGCGATGGCGGGCACGACGTCATCTTCACAGCAGGGCGACGACGGGAACGGGGGGGGCTTTGGCTGGAGTCCGTCCTCCTCGACAACCCCTCCATCAGGGGAGCGGTGGTGGTGGTGGTGGCGACGTGGACGGCGGCATGGGCTTCATGGGTAACAGCAGCGGCGACGAAAACTTGACCACCGAAGACCCGTACGTGCGGCCCTCCCTCGAGAGAGCCATCGTCGAGCTGTCGGACACCTGCCACCGGCTGCTGTCGTTCAAGGTGGGCGAAGCCAGGGTTGCTTGTTGCTGCTTGCTCCGGTTGCTGCACAGTTGACGGCACGTTGTACTTGTCGAGGCGGTATAAGACTCCAAACCGTAAAAGACCCGCCTCAATTGCCTGGGCGCTGGTTATTTTCCCCCCGCATTCGGGAGGGTAGTCCCTGTCCTACAGTACGTCCTCGAGTATATTCTGTGAGTGCGTTTTTAATAGCTTCCCCCAGCGTGCGCAAATGAATGACTTTGTGCTATGAGGAGGTCGATGTCCCGCAGGCGAACAGACATCGATTTCCAGAGCACGTTTGCTTGGGAAGTAGTGCCCACCTCTTGTTTTGCTCGTGCACCGAAAGCACTAGACGTCAACAATAAAGCGAGAACGAATTGCATGATAATTTCACGAATTGCACGATTTTTTTTTTGTTTCATGCATGAACAAATAGATAAACCATACACGGAAACGATGACAACGAACGATTGCAGGTGTAGGCGATGTGGGACTGCATCGCGGACGACGCTTTGGGTCAGCATGTGTGGCACTACCCGGTCTTCAAGATGTACCGCGGACTTGGCAACCTCACCCTGCTCGTGTACATGTGGGGGGTCAACATATGGGTAAGCGAGAGAGAGATACACCAAGAGAGACACACGCAGAGAAAGAGAGAGGGGGACAGAGACAGAAGGAGGGACAGCGATAGCCCCTGTGACAGAGGCAGAGAAGGGAAGTAGATGAACTTGTTGTCACACTCCATTTTTTCGTGATGGTACGACTTGGAACAGGGCGAGGCAATCGTGTCTTTTGCGGTCCTGCTTGCACCATGTGTTCGTGCTCTCCGTGTCGCGTCACGAGCCAATCTTAAGGGTGAAACACGTCGGGTTAGACACTCTTTGCGATGTGTACGTGGTCTGCGTGTATACCACATATGTAGTCACGAACCCACTTCACGTCCCAACGCGTGTATTGTTCTCAGTCGACTCACTAATGGAGTACCGATTTCTGATCTGACTTCGAATTTCAGTCGTTTCGTCGATATTCCAGGTTTGGAGGCGTTTCGCCATCGATTACACGGGGTGCCTTTCTCTGGATTCTGAGGGTTCGTAGGTTGACCCTTACGAGCAGATGACTCCGAGCTCGTTATCGAGTTACGCGACGGTCATGAAGAAGGGCATGCCAGCGGCGCATCGCGCTGCCCTTCGATCGCGGGACCTCCTGAACTAGATTAGATGAAGGGGGCAGACAGACAAATAGACAGATGGCAGCTAGAGAGGGGGAGAGACAGAAAGACTTCACTGACAGCAATACATCAGAGATATATATTATAGCAAGAGGGAGTAGTACCCATCTTGCGTCACCTAGGTTGATCGAGAGTGCTATCTCGTGTCTCTGTGGTACCAAATTTGAGGATCCCAACTCCTTCCACTTATATCTATCTTCCTCGTCCCAACAGGCGACAGGTTTGCACTCGAGTTGCTCACGGCCAAGCGGTGACAGCTTGCATGTGCGGCAGTAGACTCAGAGATTCAGAGTGATATTCGAGGTGGTTGTATAGAGACGCGTGCCTCCGTCCTTCCTTTGTATCGGCAAGAATTGGACGGCCTCATGCACTCTGTGCAGTTTTGTCTTGTTGCGTCCAGCGCTATTTGCTTCTACTGGAGCCTTAAGGGTGAACGGATGCCTGAATGAACGCACTTTGCGACTATCCCCCGCTCCCCCCAAATCCCACCATCAACACCTGTCCCCCCCTCGTCTTTCGAACTTTGTTTTGTGCCAATCAAGGTGTGGAACACCGGGTGCAACCTGAGCATCGCCTTCCTGGTGTCGTTCATCTGCTTCTACAAGTGCCTCAGGGGGGTCCTGTATCCATCATCATTCGCTAGAGGGGGGGGTGGTGTCCATCATCAGCTAGCGAGGGTTGGTTGTGGTATTCATCGTCACCAGCTAGAGAGGGAGGGGGGTGCTATCCATCGTCATCAGCTAGAGAGGAAGAAAAAAACGTTGGAAATTTCCCCGGCT